CAGCAGTGCCTTACTGGGGACCTTCCCTGCTAGGTGAGGTCTCCCCCAGTTAAACCAGTTCTGTTGGGCAGGAGCCAACCTCTTGTGGAGGGTTTGCCTTTCCGCCCTGAGGTGGTGACCTTGTAGCGCTCTCCTGTCAGTGTTGGCTGCGGTGGATGGGCTGGCGATGAAAGGTCAAGAGAAAATGAGGAGCCCTGCACTCCGGTGTCAGCGTGATGCAGGTGTGGAAGAGTTCGCTTGCACTTCTCCTCAGTTGGACTTCAGGGCTTTTTCTTTGCTCAGGGAAGCTTTATCCCCTTTATCCCCTGGGACTGGATTCACACCGGGACAGAGAACTACGAACTGTCGGTGGTTGTGCAAGGAGGAGAGAAGTGTTGCTGCTTTCTCTAGCTGTAACCTTGCTATAACACGGGAGTATAAAATAATAAAAGCGTGGAAGCGGCTGGGCTGGGGCTTTGCTTGCCGTGGTGAGCGGCTCCCAGAGAAGGTGCCGCTCCGCATGAGGCGGATGAGGCAGCGCTCGCTCTTGGGAAGGTGGTGGTCCCTCAGGAGCAGGGTACTGCGTGGGCTCTGCCTTGGCCCTTCTCCACATCACACCAGTGCTCTTCTGACCCATTGTACGCAAACTGGATTTTCTCTGGAGCTGATCTCAATGCTGGAGTCTTGCTGAACAGGTGAAGTGGGGCTGTTGTCATCTCTGGGGGACGTACGAGCAGGGTGGCTGTGATCCGGGAGGCTCGCTTAGCAAACGGCGAAGTAGAAGAGGAAGAAAATGTAATTCATACTGACAGTCCTGAGGTGGTAGCACCATCCCAAGGGAATGCAGACACGGCAGTTTCAGGGTTTGGAAGCAAATGGGTCTCTTTCGGCTCTATTCCCATATCCCAGAGAGCTTTCCAAGATACAGTCCGTAGTCCTCAGATTCAAACAAACGCGTGTTAGTTTGGAAGTGGTGTTTTTGTTTTGTATTTTTTTCCTTAGGAGCTTAGAGTAGCCCTGGAGTTCTTAGTCTGCATCCACAGGTATGACTGCGTTACTTCTTGTTCATGGCAAAGTTTAACTCATCTTAACGTTGGTGTTTTCCCTTGTTTTGCGGGGTGTCAAAGGCGGGGATCTGCAGCGACTGCTGGCAGCTGGTGTGGGGAGCTCTGCCAGGGCCTGCGCTGTCCCCCTTGTTTTCCTCTGGCTCTGCCATATGGGAAAACATCCTGTGTCCTATTTGTGTTGTACGCGGCCTGGTTTTTTTTTTTTAAACTGTCTTAAATAGAACATTTTAGGGTGAGATTAACCAAAATAAGGAGGTGTTGGCAATTAACAAATAGGCATCCCTTCTTTCTTTAAAATCAAAAGTCTCAGCCTGTATAGATCCATTAGTAGCTTCAGTAGTACCCCAGGGGCGTGGGGGTTTTTTGTTGGGTTTTGTATTTGATTTTTTTTTTTTTAACTTTATGGACAAAGGTGAATGACTTTGAGATGGGGGGAGTTGAATATGGACTGCTTGGAGAAGAGCAGGGGAAAAGGCACAGGTCAAAAAAGGACCAGGGGAGGCTGGAACAAGTTAGTTGTATTTGCATCTTCCTTTCCGAGATGCAGCGGTGGTGCTTTGTGCCCCGTCAGACCTCAGGAATGTCGCTGGGGTGGGTTTTGAAGGGGTCGTGCTGCTTGTAATACCATCGGCGTCCCCGAAACGGCTGTATAATTCTTGGCTGCGAACCTAAGGTTGAGCGTACGTGCATGTGAGCTAAGCTGTCCCACGGGGTTGGTTTGACTGAAGCCATTCAAAGGGGCTTTCCCCTTTGAAAAGTGGTAATTTTATTACGGGTAAAATGAATGAGGTCTCTGGAGATGCCTAATTTATAACTTCTGCCTGGAGAGCTTCCCGCCGACCACGCTCCAGCGCTCCCCCACCGCACAGCCCCTGGGAGCCCGGACCCCTCTGCGGGCTCTTTCCTAGGATGAGGGGTGCTTCCTCCCAGGCTTCCTCATCCTCCCGCCCTGGGCAGCTGAGTGGGAGCTTGTCCCAGGGCCAACGGCACCTCTTGAGCACCAGGGCCAGCCCGCAGGCAAAGCCCCGAGGTGGTTTTCCTTGGGCACATCGACTCAAAGGCTCCTTAGTGAGCGAGGAGGGGAGGAGCGAAGAGGGTGGGTTTGGAGCAGAGGGAGCATAATGGTGCCCCTGTCTGACACTGGCCCTTGGAGCAGTTCAGCTCCTTTCCTCTCCCAGCCACGTCTGCAGCCTGCTCGCCGCGCGGCGGGGATCCTGGCTCTGCGCTTTCACGGGGGAAACTTCATTGGCAGCGGGTTCTTCCTAAAAAGAAGACAAAAATCAGATGCAAGCTTTATTTTTACTTTCATTCTACTGCGTCACGCAAATCTATTGGGCCCCGTCTCGGTGCTGTCCCTAGGAAGCCTGCGTGTTGGAGGCTGCTGAGCTAGAATTAAAGAACACGTGTCTTGCATTTAGTTCGTTGCCTCAGGGGCTGGGTTTTGGCTTCAGTCACCTCTGCCTCCGCTCCCCTTCCTTCCCCACCCCCTTCCAAAGAAAAACCAGCAACACCGCAAAGCAGGAGGAAAAAATTCTGGCTGCATTGGGCAACAGAGGGGATGATGGCACTTGGGGGAGAGTCTCAGGGCTCGGGCTTTTTGTCAGGGGAAATGTGAGCGGTGCTTGTAAGGCAGAAGTGCCGGGTGATGGGGCTGTGCCGTGCGAGACCGGTCATCGCAGTGATCGGACTGAAG